CACTCCCAGCAGGTTGGGTTCAGACGTCTCCCTGACTGTTCCCACTCCACATTCACACACCCCTTTCCAGCAGTGTCATCTCAGGCCACCGTTTCCACTGCTAGCTCCCCCTACTGTCCTCCAATGGCATTGGTCATTTTCGGCCACCACAAGAAAGCCCTTCCCTCCCATACAAACCACACTAGCTCCCCCCTGGGGCTCGGTCGGTCCCCTACAACCAGGGTTGGGAGGGTTACTTTGTAAATGTAATCAGTTACTGATTACTGATTACATGGCTCTGAAAGTAATCCGAATACAGTTACAGTTACGTGTCTTAAAAAAGTAACGTAATCAGATTACTTTTAGATTACTTTTGGATTACTTTCTTTTTCCATCACAGATGGATGTGTTGGTGAACAGGAGACACAAAAAGCAAAAGGAATGTGTTTTTACTGTTTTAATGGCTTATCAAGAGCACAACTGAAACACAACATCTGAAACGATGTAACAACATAATTAACTTTTTGGGGATGCAGTTTGGGATGTGAGGAGTGAGGGACACGGCTTAGAACGGGCGTGTCGCCTTCTGTCCTGCCAGTGTTGGCAGGACATTAATTAAAATGTCAAACTCGGACTTCATTTTAAGGACATTACGGCCAGGGGTGTAGAGCTATATTTGTTTAAGCACCGGATTGGCAAAACAGGAGAGTGTGTGAACCAGTCTGCCTTGATCTATGAATTCATGTCCGTGACTCTCACAGTATCTGCTGCCCACAGCTGTTTGATAGAAGGAACACCTCCTTCACTTCATGAAATCTCTGCAGCGCCAGGAGGCAGCGGGAGGGTTAACTCAGCCTCTGAGAAGACGAGCACGCAGTGCCTTTCACGCACCGCCTTCACTGTGTTTACCTTCAGAAATAATCATTAGTAAGGCTAAAGAAAGAGCGACCGCAGGCTGATGTGTTTTAACCACACACACGCGATTTAAACGCAGACTTGTGTTCCTCCATGTTTCGCTGTTATTGTTTCACTGAGCGGACCCGCGATTTTTTTTCAAACGCTTTTTTGGTCCATCTGCGGCGGTAATAGGTTTTGTGTGCTGTGATGATTCGGCTGTACCTTTAGTAATGAATATTAAATGTTGTGAGGAAATCTTTCCACCAATAATTCCAATAAGTAATCCAAAATGTATTCACTTCAGGTTTACGAAAGTAACTGTAATCAGATTACTCGTTTTTCAAATGTAACGCGAGCTGAATACAGTTACTTGATTTTTGTATTCTGATTACGTAACGCCGTTACATGTATTCCGTTACAACCCAACCCTGCCTACAACTATACCCCAACCTGTGCCTATTTCAGCTTCCACTTCAATACCGATGGACATCCCGGTCAGAATCACTGACCGGCGGTCACGCCCTTGTTATGATCACAATCGCCGTGGTGCGAGAGTGATCAGTCCAGTTGTACACACAATCAAAGCTTCCTGTGCTGATGGTGATACAGTGGCTTCCTCAGCTAAAATGATTAATGCACGCTCTGTTGCAAACAAGGCTCACACTTTCAACGACTTGTTTATAAGGGAGAATTTGGCCTTCTTATTCCTGACTGAAACGTGGCAACGCAATATGGAATTTAATCTAAATGAACTGTGCCCAGCGGACTGCTCATACATTGGGACTCCGCGTTTGTCGGGCCGCGGCGGTGGTCTCGCCGTTGTCTGGAAGAAGCAGTTCTCTTGCCAATTGGTCAGCGCAGAACCTTTCATTACGTTTGAACTACATGTGACTAAAATTGGTCGGCAAAAGCCATTTTATTGTGTTTTGATTGATCAACCTCCTGGTCCAGCAGGTCAGTTTTTAATTGAGTTCACTGACTTTGTTACTTCTATTATCAAGCTGGACGAAGTGTTATTAGTAGGTGATTTTAACCTGCACATCAATGATGCCACAAATTCTGTAGCCACTGAATTTCTTAATATTACTGAATCTTTTAATTTCAAGCAACATGTTTCCGGCGCCACTCACGTGGGTGGTCCAACCTTAGACCTTGGTTTTTCTCCGGGACTAGATGTTGATCACATCCGTTGTGAGGATCTACTGATCAGTGATCATAAATGTATTTTCTTTAATCTATCTGTAAAAACTGACCCCTTGTGTCTCAAAACTTCATTACGTTCACGCATTATTACTCAGAGTACAGCTGATCAGTTCACAGCTCACTTTTGCTGTGACAATAACACTAATATGAACGATGTAGAGCCTTTAATACAGTCTTTTAATCAGCATTGCTCCACGTTGCTAGACAAAGTGGCACCGCTAAAGGATCGGACTATCTGCAACACTTCTCCATGGATGACAGACGCTGCCGGCTGCCTGGGGCGGAAGTGTCGCAGGACAGAGCGACTAAGGAAAACCACTGGGCTGGAAGTGCATCGCCTATATCTCAAAGATCTAAGATATTCTTTTAATGCATTAGTAAAAGACGCCCGGACTGCTTAGTTAATTTCTTCTTCAAAGAGAAATCCCAAGATGCTATTTGACACAATTAATAACATTGTTTCACCACCACTATCTACATTACCATGTCTTTCGAAAGATGACTGCAACAAGTTCCTTATCTTCTTTGTAGATAAGGTAGCATCTATTAGGCCCAGTATTCATCCTGGGACTTCACTGCCCAGCTCTAGCCCCTCTCCATCCCACTCTGTGCTTGGCTCCTTCGAACCTATCAACTCACAAGACCTGATGGATTTGATCAGGAGAATGAAGCCATCTTCCTGCCCTCTGGATGTAATACCAACTTCCCTATTTTTTCAAAGTTTTACCAACCATTGGAAGTGCTCTATCAGCTATTATTAATACTTCCTTGTCTACAGGATGTGTCTCTTCTTATTTTAAGCATGCCACTATTCAGCGCACATTAAAGAAAACAAACTTAGATCTGCCCGTGAACTACAGGCCAATATCAAAACTACCCTTTCTGTCAAACGTTCTAGAGAAGGTCGTGGCAAACCAACTCACTGCTGCATTGGAGAGGCACAACATTTATGATAAGTTCCAGTCAGGGTTTCGGAAAAAGCACACTGAGGGTTTCTAACGACATCCTGATGGCTTCTGATGTGGGTGATTGCTCTGTGTTAGTACTTCTTGACCTAAATTCTGCGTTTGACACTGTAGACCAGTGGTTCTCAAACTTTTTTCAATAATGTACCCCCTTTTAAAAAAAAATTCAGCCCCCTGATCAGCGCAAAAACAATTTGTTAAGGAAAAAAAGCCTATATAAAGAGGTACAGTACATCGCTGCACCATCAGTGTCTGATTTATTAAAACAACAACATTGTAGGCTAACTGAGAAATACTTAAATGCTACATTTCAAATGTTTACAATCCATCACAAAAAATTCATGGCAAACCAATTTTAACATCATGCAATAACACTAAGACGACATTAGTTGCATTGAACTGATCTTTTTAATAAGTTGTACTTACAATGTAGGCCTAGTGAGAAACATGGGCTTGAGCTTCACTGAGGATCTGTGTCATTCTGACAGGGAGGCAAACTGCAGTTATTACACTTCGCCTTTTGAAATATGTGTAACTCTGTTCATATAAAACTCACACTGCTCAAACTTCGTTACTTTTCCTAAAATTGGTATATTTATTTATTTATTTATGTTGGGGCGTGGGGAATGAAGAGGAAAAAATATATGAGCATTTTATGAGCATGGGATTTTGACCCCTCATATAAACATATGCATAATGCTGCGCTATACTTTGCGGCCACACGCCGTTGCCAAGCAACGCTTATTGTTTAGGTCCTTTGATAAGCAGGCAGTCAAATAATTAGCTAGAACTAGCTAGATCTGATAGATTTGGACATAAACGCGAGTGAAGTCTAACCGGAGAGAGAGAGAGATCAGATCAGCTGCTGCTGAACACGTAGCTCTGCATGATCACAGCTCCGCCGCTGTGACGGACCGTTGAGCCGAGCAGAAATACACTAAGAGTTAGACCTAACACACTTAGCGAATTGATCTACTCTGGAACTAGCTAAACTAGTTATACATATATGTATTCTTTACTGTCGGGTCACTCATTACAGGTTCAGCGAGCTGCACGAGCCTGACGGGCTGTCAGGAGAGGGAGAGGAAAAGAGAGCAGAGTTTCTGTAAACCTTTGAAGAAAGCAGTTAATCTACTATCAGCAGTTTGTTTAAATGCATTAATTATGTTTTCTTTTTTCATTAACATAAAATAAATCTCACGTACCCCCACCAGTACTCCAACGTACCCCTAGGGGTCCGCGTACCCCCATTTGAGAACCACTGCTGTAGACCACCATCCTGATCAAGAGGTTACGTGACTGGCTGGGCATATCTGGCATAGCACTAGACTGGTTTGCATCATATCTTGCTGACAGAAGTTTCACCGTCTCGATTGAAGACTTTGTGTCAGACTCCTCTCCACTGTCCTGTGGTGTCCCGCAGGGCTCAGTTTTGGGGCCTCTGTTATTCTCCCTATATTTGCTACCCTTAGGACAGATCATAAACAGATTTAACATTACATATCACTTATACACGGACGATATCCAGCTCCACATTTCACTCAAACCTAGTGAGGCTTTTAGGATATCTAGGCTCCTAGAATGTCTTAGCGCTATTAAGGACTGGACGGCAGATAACTTCTTACAACTCAATGCTGATAAGACAGAGGTTCTGGTTGTTGCACCAGAAAAGGTTGTGCCCATGATTATGAAAAGTATTGGACCATATTCCTCTGCTGCCAACTCCAAACTACGTAACTTATGGGTGATATTTGACCAATCCACGTCGTTTGATACCCATGTTAAGCAACTGACGAGATGTTTCTTCCACCTACGAAACATCAGTAGAGCCTGCATCGGTGCTGACTTGAGACCGGTTGAGACTCAGTGTGGGAGGGGGAGTGTGTAGGGGTAGGATGTAGGGTGTGGTTTGGGATTGGGCCTTAGTTTCACACTTCCTGTTGTCTCCTCCCTCAGGTGCAGTGATGTCATCCCTCCTCCTCTTCCTCTTCCTCTTCCTCACCCCTTCCTCTCCGCTGGAGTTTCGTTACCATAACAACCGAGAGATACAGCAGTACCTGGTGGAGATCAACGCCTCCAACCCCGACATCTCTCACCTGTACAGCATCGGACCGTCGGTCAGAGGTAACACCTGTTCATCAGTTTTTTTACTTTACTCCATTAAAAGGTCAGATAAATAGTTTGAAAAGGTCCCAGAATCCCAAAGTTCCGGAACACAGTGACATCACTACGGAACACTCGCGCTCCTATTGGCTAGCGCTCCAACACATTGTACGTGATAGGCTAAGGGGCGGGACAACTGTAAGCTGTTGACCAATCACAACAGAGCCGGCCAGCTAACCAATCAGAGCAGACTTCTTATTTTTCTGCATTTGAAGCCTCTTGTGTGTGTGTGTGTGTGTGTGTGTGTGTGTGTGTGTGTGTGTGTGTGTGTGTGTGTGTGTGTGTGTGTGTGTGTGTGTGTGTGTGTGTGTGTGTGTGTGTGTGTGTGTGTGTGTGTGTGTGTGTGTGTGTGTGTGTGTGGTGTTTCTTTGATTGTGAATGACATGATTGCAAAGGGTGGTTCATTTAATCTGCAGACTGCCTAATCTGGCTAATCACACACACACACACACACACACACACACACACACACACACACACACACATGTACACACACACACACCTAATTTGAGCTAATCTAGGACACCAGCTGGCCTTGGTCCTTGTGTGTGTGTGTGTGTGTGTGTGTGTGTGTGTGTGTGTGTGTGTGTGTGTGTGTGTGTGTGTGTGTGTGTGTGTGTGTGTGTGTGTGTGTGTGTGTGTGTGTGTGTGTGTGTGTGTGTGTGTGTATAGTCACCTCTCATCTGTTGTCAGTGTTTCCCTCGTGATGACTCATTCACTTTACTGTGTTTTTCTTCTCTCTCTCTCTCTGTGTGACAACCCTAACCCTAACACACTAATATCACCTCCTTGGTCACTCATTCTGACCTGACTGCTAAATATGAACTCCAAAGTGACTTTACTCATAGCTTTCTGAACAAATATCTGCAGAACTAACAATATTTCCTCAGATGTATTTGCTTTTAGCCCTAATTATCTTAAGCATGCTAACACACCAAGATAAGATAATGAACATTATGCTTTCTACACATCAGTGTTTTTACTGTCAATATAAGAACGTTAGCATCTAGAAGCACCAGGTGTGTCATTATTTACTGTCCCGTTCGTCTGCATGCCTTACAGTCGTTTTTGCCCAGAAAGTGTAAACAAATATGGCTTTTATCACAATTTCTGACTGGTAATAATAATAATACGTTTTATTTCGAGGCGCCTTTCAGGACACCCAAGGTCGCCTTACAGTGCATTTAAAAGTTAAAATAGCTAAAACAAAAACGGAACACAATTTGATCGAACCGACAAGGCAATACAGCAGCATACAAGCGACGGAGTGAGGATCTGTGATAGCAGGTTGAATGTGTTTTAGAGTGAGTAGGCCAGTTTAAACAGGTGGGTTTTGAATGTCGTGATGGAGTCAGACTGTTTGATGTGTGGAGGCAGAGAGTTCCAGAGCGCGGTGCAGCTAAAAGCCCTGGCTCCCATGGTGCTAAGGCGGGAGGTGGGGACAGTCAGGAGTCCGGCTGAGGATGAGCACAGGGAGCGGGAGGGGGTGTATTCCTGGAGGAGGTTTGAGAGATAGGTGGGGGTGAGGTTGTTGAGGGCTTTGTATGTAAGCAGAAGGTTTTTGTAGTCAATCCGGTGCTGAACAGGGAGCCAGTGAAGTTGGATGAGGATGGGGGTGATGTGGTAGATAAGTTAGAAGACATTAAAATGTGTGTTTTCTGTTGAATTTTGCAGTTTTTTTCTGTCTGTTTTGTGTAAAATCTTCTTAATGTTCTGCTCCAGGTCAGGAGCTGTGGGTGTTGGCTCTGGGTCTCAGTCCTCACCGGCACACCGTCGGCATCCCCGAGTTCAAATATGTGGCCAACATGCACGGAAACGAGGTGAACACACACACACACACACACACACACACAGGACCCCTCCCTTACGACAGGAAGTGGGGCTAAAAGGAGACTAAAGAGATCAACAAAAGCCATTCAGATTCAAACACACTCCACACACACTTTTGTATTCAGACGACAGACCGTGTTGGTGCATGTGTGTGTGTGTGTGTGTGTGTGTGTGTGTGTGTGTGTGTGTGTGTGTGTGTGTGTGTGTGTGTGTGTGTGTGTGTGTGTGTGTGTGTGTGTGTGTGTGTGTGTGGTCTAGCATTACTATACTTGTGGGGACCTAAATCTGTTTACACAGTCACGTGTGGGGACTCGCTTCCCTTATGGGGACAAATTGGAGGTCCCCATGAGGGGAATCATTAATTTTAGGGTGAAGACTTGGTTAGGATTAGGATTAGGTTTAGGGTAAGGGTTAGGGTTAGGCATGTGTTGGTTATGGTTAAGGTTAGGATAAGTCTCCAGGAAATGCATGTAAGTCAATGTAATGTCCCCTGAAGTGATGTATACATGGTATGTGTGTGTGTGTGTGTGTGTGTGTGTGTGTGTGTGTGTGTGTGTGTGTGTGTGTGTGTGCGTGTGCGTGCGCCTGCCTGCGTGCGTGCGTGCATGAGTGTGTGTGTGTGTGTGTTCTCAGCTGCAAACGGACAGTGTGCCGAGTCAACCTTGAAGTATTAGTTGGCATTATGAAACAAATCTCTGGATTTAAGCTTTCGACAGAGACAGCAATAACGGACAGGAAATAACTTTATTGACACTGCTGTGCAAACACACACAACACAAAAACAAGGAAGCAGACATCTCAGGTACACTACAGTGAAGTCTGCACATTATTCATGTCTCTGTCTGTTCTATTGTATTTGACGTCCTTTACATGCTGTTAAAACAATCTCACTATATTACATTTTTTAAATATATTTTCCACAATTTCTTTCAATTCTGGACATAATTTTCCGCATAGTTTATAACAATTTTCTACATATGATTTTATGTTTCTCATATATTTTTCTGGCATTTTTCACAAATGTGTTCAGGGTTTACTCGCATACATTTTAGCTGCTAATACAAAACAACACGTCTGCCTCTCTCCACAATGATCAATAACAGCGAACGGATGGTCAAAGTAAGGTACAAATAAACAGAATCAGTAGAACACTGAACAGGTTAGTGTTGCCTGACTTTATAAAGTGTGTTTTTTTAATAAGTGTGAGGTTGCGTTCTAGTCACTTTGCTCAGCGCTACTGCTTGTTACAACTTTCATTTGCCGTACTTGCCTTTAACTGTTAGCTCAGGTTGATCCCGCCCCTTCCCCCGCCCCCGACGTAAGCGTGACGTATGCGGTTCTTGCTTCTAGACCGACCATTTTTTGGTGCCTGAAAAGCACCGGTTTTCGGAGCTTAGAGGCGGCTCCGCTGCGGTGTGAACAGGAAAAACCGGTGCTTTTCAGGCTCTAGCTCCGAACCGGCCCTGGAACCGCGTGTGAAAGGGGCAATAGTGTCCCCCCGACCAGCATCTGGTAACTGTGGTGACGGCCTACTGCTGCTCACACTGTGGGTGTGTGTGAGTATGTGAGTGAGAGTGTGTGTGTGAAAGTCAATGGAAATGTCCTTAAATAGACAAGTCACGCCTGGACACACACACACAGTCAGCAAACAGAGTCAGTGGAGTGTGTCTGGTCAGAGGAAACTTCCAGAAAAAGACCTTTTCATTGAGAACACACACACACACACACACACACACACACACACACACACAGCAGGAATGTAGCCTCTGTGGAATCGTTGAAAAGGTATCGTGTAGTGTGTGTGTGTGTGTGTGTGTGTGTGTGTGTGTGTGTGTGTGTGTGTGTGTGTGTGTGTGTGTGTGTGTGTGTGTGTGTGTGTGTGTGGAGTTTAATTTCCTGTGAGAATAACAAACAGACTTTATTCTGTTCTCTTTATCTCACATCTTATTTCTGATACACTCTGCTATAAAGGGTTCATCCCACCCTGCAGCACAAATAAAACACACACGGATGTTTTAGTGTCAGTGTAGGCGGTGGAGCTAAAAATGTTTAAATCAGGGTGGAGAAATCCTCCAAAAACATCCTCTCTTGGGAAGCATGAAGACATTTGGTTAATCCTATGAAGTCTGGCCTGTAGTCGTAATCAAAGTTGATTTATAAAGCCAAATAGCACACAACACGTTTGTCTCAGTGGACTTTACAGAAATAAAAAACAGGAAGATAATGAAAGACAAGATAGAATATAAGATTCAAATAGAAAATAAAATGTATTAAGAATATTTTTTCGCCGGTCAACATGTCCGTTAAAATTTAAATCTTCCGGACAACATGAGAAAAGTGCCGGTCAAAGGTTATTTATTGTGCTTTAAAACAAATTGATATGATTCGATATTAAACAAACTAATCATAGTAGATTAATTATTCAAACGTGTACAGTAATTTATAATAACACGGGAATAATAAACGGAGCGCTCTCCTTCTCCTGACAGCCCAACCCAGTCTCACAAAAAAACGTGTAATAACTACGTTGGTCCACAACGTAGGACGTAGTATATCTTCAAAAACGCCTCTGAAATTGTAAAATGCCTACGTTTTTTTTCACCATTCATTCCAATGGCTGGCTTCTATGTCACGTGATCTTCAAATTTCTCCCTGCAGAAAAAAAAACATGGCCGACCTTCGTTTTATTCTCGGTGGAAAATGCCTATTTTAAGGTTAGTTTGGTCATTAAAATGCGTTTTGATGTCATTTCATGCGAGAAATATGAGTTGTTATTTAAGATTATGTGTGCAGTGGGTGTACATGATCTTTAGTTTGCTAGTTATTACGAAGATTACTTCAGGAAATTGTGTCTATACAACGTTTTCATTGTTACCAAGATGGTTGCTAGGGACGCTGCTATCGATATTATTTCTGTTATGTTGTGTAAAATGGTGTTATCTTTATTGCTACCCCCTTCCCCGTCAATGTATAGTGTTGGTCCACAGCGCAAACGTATTAGTTATTAGCTAGACTTTTATTTAGCATCTCAAAACACATGTAAACAGCTTCATGCCCTGTGTCAGTACCAGATATGTTCGGGCTACCAGATATGTTCGGGTGTATTTCCGTCGCATCCGTCATCCGTCATATTCGTCATATTTTACGGCAACTCAAGAGGGCCATCACGGTCAAATTCCGAACATTTAAACATAGCCGACACTACATTCTTTACTTTGTCCGTTATTATATGTAGAAGATTATACTTTTTCTCCGTCATGTTGTTTCCTTAGCAACAACTTCAAACAGGCATAGCCTACACTTCATTCCTTACTTTGTCCGTTATTATATGTAGAAGATATTAATTTTTTCTCCGTCATGTTGTTTCCATAGCAACAACTTCAAACAATAACAACTAACCGCTAGCCGCAAAGCTAGCTTCACAGCCACTGCTCCGTTTTCGGAGACTTTGCACACGTTTTTCACAAACATTTTCACACGCTAGGAGTACTTCCACTAGCTTCGTCTTGATCTGTAGATGTGATTTGATGTGTCGTGTGTCCCCCAACTCCTCTCCAAAGTTCAGATATATAATACAATACTCAGGGGAGTTTCCTGAATTGTCATGCCCAAAGCCAAGCACTAGGCCCTGGGTAAATTAAGAGGCTGATCTCGGGCACTTTTGTCCACTTTCCCTGGTGGTCGAAACTCAAGCCAGACATCCCTGGAATCGTCTCAGAGAGTAGATGATCAGTGGGGCCTTGTTTTTACTGAATGATGTGTTTTTTTATGATGAATTCAAATATGGGCTTATTTTTAGGATTTTCGGAGACTTTGCACACGTTTTCACAAACATTTTCACGCTAGGAGTATGGGAGTACTTCCATTCGCTTCGCCTTGATCTGTAGATGTGATTTGATGTGTCGTGTGTCTCCCAACTCCTCTCCAAAGTTCAGATACTATATACAAATACTAAAAGGTAAATAAAACATTAAACATAATGACAAAATAACAACCTGAAAGATATGTATTCTATCTACACATTTCGTAATTATCTAATCTAGTGGCCTTATAAAAGTGTCGGCTAAAGTAACGCAGAATATATATATTTTTTAATTGTAAATAATTAGAAACATTATTTATGTGCACAAGTACATGGGACCCCACCATAGCACCCCACACATAACAAGCTGTCCCGAGTTCCTCCGGCTGCAGTTCCGCAGACGGCCGGTGTGTGGCAGCAGAGCGCTAGGAGCAGAGGGAGGTGAGTATATGACGGATATGACGGAAGACGTATGTGACGGAAATACACCCGAACATATCTGGTACTGACACCGGGGCTGCTTCTCAGGTCGATTAAATTAAATCCTTGCTTCCCTCACTTGCGTCGTTTCCCTGCGTTTAGTCCCTCCCACCAGGGAAGCATGGAGAGACGCAAGGAAACCACGAGAAGCAGGGAAATGAGTTTTAAGAGCAATGGGACGTCCTTTCCTCCAGAGCGCCACGTGAAGCGACGTCCGTTTGTGATGACGCTGCACAGCTGATCGTCTGACAGCAGCTCTGTCCCCGTTATTTCCACACACACCCTGTTAGTACACATTTACTGACACAAACATTTGTATCATCTGTTGTAGATCCCAATAAATAAAATAAAATAAGAACTCATTCTCAAAAAAGATAAACGCCATTCTTAAAATGTATAAACGAACAATAGTTTGATTAATATTGATTAGAGTGCACAATAGAAATAAAATAATTGAGAGAAGAAAAAGAGATATGTTATCTATCAAAACCCAGTTAGATTAACATTCATTGGATTGCACACTTTGTTTGTTTGTTTGTTTGTTTGTTTGGATATGTAGCACATTAACATTTCAATAGCACGTAATGACTGACTGAATGGAAATGACAATAAATGAAAATGTAAAACGAAAAAAGCGATCATGAAAATGTTTCCAACAAATGAATAAAATGATTTTTGACCACTTTGTTGTTCAGATATATCACATAT